CACAAGTCTTAAAGGGGCCAAGTTTGGAGATCTCTGTGCTAGAGCAAATTTAAAGGCTGATATTGTGGAATGGAACAACAAAAAACACTGTACCCAACCTTCCTCCCCGACTGGCCATTTTAGTGGGTTCCTCCCTTCTTGGGAAGGTTTAGGATTCCTCCACTGGCAGCTGGCGCCCTTTTGGCCCCAAGGGAGGAAAAGGCGAAAGACTCAGAAGGGCCCCCAAATCCAGCCCAAAGACCCCCCCTCCCATATTACCTGGATTCCGGGGGCGCCTGGCTTCCCCACCCCTGCTGTGGGAGGTGGGGGAGGCCCGTGGCCCCCGGGGCTCCCTTTCTCCATCCTCCCTCCTGGGCCGGTTCCGGAGGGCAGCGTCCGAGTGGTGTGGATGGGCCGGGGGCCTCGGAGAACCGTGCTCCTCCGTCCGCCCACCACGGTCCGCATTGGGGGACGGGCTTCGGACGTACCATCGGTCCGCTGGCCTGTCTCGCCCGTCGGGCGTCGGACCCCGTTCCCCTTTCCCGCGGCGGCCGCGCCCGCTTCTCCACTCCTCTTCCCGGTCCGTAGGAGGAGGAGGGGGCGTCCTTGGGGGTCTCTCGTGGCTCCGAGGCCTCTTCGTATCCCTGGTCCCCCGACCGGCCCGCGGCGGTTCTGCATCCACAGCCAGCAGAAAGGGGCCCCGGGTTTTGTCCTGGCTCCTGTTGGGGCGACTGCGGGCTTTCTCGTGGGGTTCCTCTTCCTCCTCCTGCTCCACATCTGGGGGGCCCCTGGGATGGGGAGGCCTCTCGTGTCCGTCCTTCTTCCTCTCCCGCCGCTTCTCTCGCTCCTTCCTCCTCCTCGTTTCGGAGCCACTTTCCCAAGTCTCCAGGTCGAGACCTTCGGGAATCAGCGGGGGGCCCCTCCAAGCGGGGTCCCTGGTTTGGGGGGGCTGCCCATCTTTGGGCCCCGGTTCCCGGGGGGTCCCGGACAAGCGGTCTGGGCAACAAGGAAGCGGCAAGACAGACAACGGAGGTGAGTTAGTGACCCGGGTTAAGGGCAGGGATCAGGTTACACAGCAAAGGGGGCAGAGGAAGGGGGGGAGAGAAAGCTTGGGGGGGCAGGGAAGGCGTGCAAAGCAGCAGCAAATTTCATGCAGCCCCCCCCCCAAGCCCCTCCCCTTGAGAGCCAGCTCTCGGGTCACTTCAGCCCCATCCTGATCTCTGCAGCTGGAGAAGGACGAGTCTACCTGCCGATTATCCCCACCACATTCAAGGACTGGAACCAAAGGCTGCTCACTTTCAAATTATCCCACGCATGAGATTCCCCGGAGATTCCCCACGCATGAGATCCCAGCACAGGCCAAAAGGTTTGGCTTTCTTGCTCCAGAGATCAAAAAGCCACCTTGGTCCCCCCCAGTTCATACCTCTCCCAAAGGTGCTTTTCTTTTTTTTTTTTTTTCCCTTCCAAACGGCAACTGGACTTCCTTGGGGTTTTTTTTTTTTTTTTTGCCTTTGAAAACTTTTTTGCTTCTCGTCCAAGAAGTTAGAACTGAGGAAGCTTCTCGGAGGAGAAGGGAAATGTTTTAAGGGGGAAAAAAAACCACACATAAAGCATCAAAGAAAGTCCAGTTGCCTTTTTAGAAAGAAGCACTTTGGGGACAACCTCGGATGACGGAGAATCTCCATTGACAAGCTGCGTTGTTGTGTATCGGGGGTCCCCAAACTTGGCCCCTTTTAAGACTTGTGGACTTCAAATCCCGGCTCTGCTGGCTGGAGAATTCTGGGAGTTGAAGTCCACAAGTCTTAAATGGGCCAAGTTTGGAGACCTCTGTTGTATATGGATTGAGGGGTTTGGGGGGGGGCCCTCTTCCCCCAATCGGCGTGTGGGCATGCACCAAGGGAAATTTGGCACCAAGTGTTAGCTTCGTAAATACCACCTTGGCAAGACCACCCAGAAGCAGCGACAGAATGCAAAGCCAGAACCAGTAAAGGAGAATATTTGCAGCTCGGGGTTGAGATGATGAGGGATACTTGTGGTCTCTGGGCTTGGTGGTTTGTGCGCGGACATTTCATTGCCGAACTAGGTAACGTGTTCAGTGCTAGAAGGGAGTGGGGTTTGGGAAGTGGAGAAAAAGTGGGGTTTGCAGGGAGGAGGGGGAGAAGCAGAAGGAGAAGCAGAAGAGGAGGAGGAGGAGGAGAAAGGGAATGAGGAAGAGGAGATGAGGAGGGGGAGGAGGGGAAGCAGAAGAGGAGGAGAAAGGGATGAGGAAGAGGAGATAGAAAGGAGAAGGAGAAGTAGAGGAGGAGAAAGAGGAGATGGGGAGGAGGGGGGAAGCAGAAGAGAAGGAGGAAGAGAAACAGAAGAGGAGTAAGAGGAGGAGAAGCAGAAGAGGAGGAGGAGAAAGGGATGAGGAAGAGGAGATAGAAAGGAGGAGGAGGAGAAGCAGGAGGAGGAGGAGGAGAAAGGGATGAGGAAGAGGAGATAGGGAGGAGGAGGAGAAGCAGAAGAGGATGATGAGGAAGAGGAGATGGGGAGGAGGAAGAGGAGGGGGAAAGACTCCCTGAGTTGTTTCCTTGCAGATGTTTCGTGACCCAACTAGGTAACATCATCAGTGCACATTTTGGGGAGAAATGTAGCAAGAATAATATCTTAGCAGTTGATGTCAGCTTTGTAAAAAAAAAAGAGCAACTCCAAAGCTGTGAGAGTGTTAGTCATCCATTATTGCTTTTCCCAATATATTTATTTATCTGTTTGAAGGTAGAAAGTATTTCCTGGGAAGCTCTTAATATGTGTTGAGCTTATTTTCCTACAAATCTACTTTGTGTTTCATAAATACTTCCCCCACCCCCATTTTTAGCGCTGATGATGTTACCTAGCTGGGTCACGCGACGCCTGCAAGAAACCACCCGAGCTCAGAGAGCCCCCAGGGCCCCAATTGTCCCACCCAGCGCTACAAATCTTCTCCTTTTTTTGGTGGAAGTACCTAATCTGACGCTCAGGGCAGACAAGAGTCCAAGCGGAGGAAGGAGAGGAAACAGGCCACAGCTGCAGGGCAGGCACACCGCCACAACTCCAGCGGGAAAGGCGGAGGGAGTCAGGGACCGCCAGCCAGGTGAATGCTGGGATCGACTCTGCTACCTGCGCAGCGGGCCCAGGAGAGCCCGGCGGCAGGTGAGCTTCTGGCCGTTGGCACCGAAGCGCAAACCGGCGCCCTCCGTTTGGATTGGAAGGCCACGACCTGCCGTTTTTCCCGACACGCCCAAGACGAAGAAAAGCCCAGAATGTGTTGCACAGATGCACAGAGGAAGAAAACCACACCAAGCGAATTCCATCCCAGCTGGGGAAGTTCCTTTGATCATTCCTTTAAGGCTTTCCAAGAGGAGGAGGAGGAGGAGGAGGAGGAGAACAGCCAGTGCATAAATCACAATCCCAGAGATGATTTCCATTCTGCAGCAGCGATGAGGAGGAGGATCAAACCGAGGGCGGCTTTCGTGGAAGATCGGAAGGAAGCACGGAAGAACCTCGCACCCGGGTCTGTCCCAGTTGGCTTTGGCAGAGTTCATTCACGCCGAGCAGAGTCCAGCGTCCCTCTCGGGGGCCCCCCCGGGGAGATCCTAAGGCAGGGACTGTCCAACGTCAGCCATTTTGAAGACTTGTGGACTTCCACTCCCAGAATTCCCCAGCCAGCAGCTGCTTGAACTCAAAGGGGTCCCTTTCAGCCATAGGTTTCTATGATCGAGGGCAGAGGGGTGGACTGGAAGACCTCCAAGTTCCCCTTCCAGCTCTATGAGTGTACAATGTTGCACAGGGGGTGAACTTTACTAGTAGACCCCCAAGGTTCCTTCCAACCGTTACGTTTCTATGATCTCGGGCAGAGGGGTAGACTAGAAGACCTCTAAAACGCCTTCCAACTCTGTTACTTTGTAATTCTGAATCCTCTTTGGGCTCCTGGGTTGCAGTTTAAACCAGGGGTCTCCAGCCTTGGCCCCTTTAAGACTTGTGGACTTCAACT